CACTGTATGTGGCGTCTGTGTGAACTGGCTGTAACAAGATGTGGGACACAAAGGCGTGCAGAACATCTGCGAACAATTAGAGGCGAACAGAGCGAGCGAGCACTTATACTGCCCATTACACTTGAATAAGTCACTGGCTCTGCTTTTCATGATGTAATGCGGCACAGCTCGGATATGCAATCTCGAAGTTGCATTGGGACAGGGCTCTCGCAAAAACTTCAATCGAGCTCAAACACGGGCGCACAGACCATAAATGTAATCTAGTGAGTGGAGAGTGGAACCACATTTATCCACAGACACCCCCCGCGCCCCCCCCCCTCAGCAGCTCTGAGGTCATTCCTCAGGATGAAATGTTCACAGCACCGGTGGGTGCTCATGTTCTTCACCAAATATTGTTCCAAATGTGACACATTTAGGCGCATTCACTCTGAACTCCTCCCAGCCTCCATCGCTCATGTTTAAATTCTTTCAGTTACATGAATCGACTAAAAAAAAAAAAAAATTCAATAATTCCACAAAGTAGACGACACATTTACAACGCTGCCCTGGTGGCGGACTTTAAAGTCTCCTTCCATTCAAAAACAAAGGTGTTTGACCTTCACTGTGCACAGAGACACACAGTTTCCCTTCATCTGCTGGAGGAGGAAAACGTCTCACCTCGCTCACCTCGGATGTGAGTTTACCACGCGTACCTTAGCGCATGACTTAAAAACATCACAACTAGCTTAAAGCCAAATGTAGTAAAACACAGTCTTGCACAAATGAGATGTAAAAACTGAGAGTGGACTTTTCACTGAAGTTTCTTAATGAACCGTTTTGCTTCTCTGAATCCAAGACGGCGCCTTTAAACGTCTTGTTTTGTCCGACCACCAGTCAGAAATCCTAAGATATTCAGTTTATTGTGATGTAAGACAGAGAGAAGCAGGAAATATTCACATGTGAGAGGGTGTAAAGAGCTGTCTTTGTGTCTGCAGAGGGCGCTGCATTAAGTGTAAAGTGATATCACATGAGTCAGCGTCAGTTGGGTCTGAAGACTACAGGTTTGAAAATTAAAAAAAAAAAAAATGAAATAAATAAACCTGGGGGAGTTAGAAAGAAGCGAGGTTAACAGACCTCTGTAGACCACTCTTCATTTCTGCTTGAGGCTCAAGCCGCTACTATAATAATGCATCCGAATATCTGGATGAACTGTCAATGGTTGCATTGTGGGTAATGTAGGCGGCAGGCTTTGACGAGGAAGAATGTGTGGAATAAATGCGATAACTCTAGTTCTGCTGCATCGATTTCAGTCCTTCCTGTTTTAAACCGTTTCACTGAAAGTCCAACGTTGTTATAGCGGTGCCATGCTAAATCTGTGCAGTGCTCTTTAAAAACATGTCTAGAGCGGATCTTTAGGTTTAGAGGGTCAAAAACGTATCTGAAATGCCTCTCAAATGCTAGAAAGATGATCAAATCCCCTCGTCTCAGAGCTTTTTGTTTTATTTTTCAGGAAACTAGTCCATCGCTTCGCTCCAATCATGAAGTCATGGTTTGGATGGGTCTTTGTGCCACTAAGTCTTCAAGGATTTCTTACATGATATATGACATTTGTCTGCAATTGCCAAAAACAACAAACTGCAACATTACATCAACACACAATTTGGAAAAGACACAGGGGATACGTCATGTCTTTTCAAAGCAGAATCGGGAAAACGCTGCCTGCAAACACTAAAAGATTCATTGAGCATTTCATAAAAAGATCTTCAGTGAAACTTAAATATTTTACAGCCTGAATGCTGGCCATCTCTCTGAACCCGTAATTCAAAACCCTTCCGTCCTTATTTCCTCTTCTGACCTAAAGCTTGGTCTTTGTTCAGAAAACGATGAGACAATGAGAACAGTATGAGCGTATATCTGGCCCTGAACCAGCAGGCACAGATCATTAAGCCTCCATGTTTTTCCCCTCCAAAAAAATAAAAAATAAAAAGACTCTGTAACAGCTACACCGACACATCTTAGATGTCTCAGATCTTGTTTAATCTCTGATTAGACCTACAATTTACTGAGATTACAGGCACATGTTTTATTGACAATAATCCATCACGATGTGAAAACAAACAAGAAACAATCCACTCCTCGTGACTAGAGTGCAATTCAGGAAATGTGGAGGTATCGTGTTTACCGAGAAGCAGCGTTGTCAACGCATGATCTAATAAATTAAACTGCCAAGACGGCTCCAATACTGGGCAATGAAGGCACCAATCACATTCATTACTTTGACTGAAGAGTACAATTTGGAGTAGAGCTGAAACTATTTCATTAGTTGATAATGATTAGCAACTACTTTTTACAACAGATTAATTGTTTTGTCATTTTTCAAGCAAAAAAGAAAAACATTGCCTTATTCCAGCTTATCCTCCAGTTGTGAGGATCTGCTGCGTTTATCTGTCTTTTGTGATCAAAAAATGTCTATTTTTAGGGTTGGGCAGACAAAACGAGCAATTTGAAGGCATCAACCTGGGCTTTAGGAAGCTGTGGTGGACATTTTCTTACATTTTACAAACCAAATGATTGATTGAGGAATCCACAATGAAAATAGTCATCAATTGCAGCCCTAAACCCTGAATTAGATTGCTGCTACTGTGACAAAAGTCAGCCTGTCATCATGAATACTGGTCATTCATTTCAATCCAACCACAAACTATGTGCTGCTAGTAAATGAATGCTGTGTGCATTTCTCCCCATCTGTTTTGTGTTCTTCAGTTTGGACGAGTGGAAACACCTCAAGTAAAATTCAAAAAGCTTGAAATATCACAAAAATCCTGACGTAGCCTTCGTGAAGAACGTGACTTAAACGTCACTCAAGCTTCGACTGAAGAGACAAAAACACCAGATCTGAGTGGAAACGATGAGGAGACTCTGACCTTCCGCAAATTCATACACAAAACAAATATAAATGTGACATTTTAAACCTGTTTTCGACATTGTTTTCCACCGTCTGAGGTTCGACTGTCTGGTGCTGTTTTCATTACATCATCTCTCATAACAGAAATGGATGGAAACTTGCATTACATAGTTTTTTCTTCTGCCGATTTTCTTCTTTGTGGCGTTTGCTTGCTCCCCGATAATATTTAAACTTACAGTTATCACCTGACCAGCTCTGGATTTTTGAGACGATACTGATATCGGTATTTCTGGGAACATCTGATAACGATATACAGGCTGATAATAATTTGGTTGACATAAACAAATGATCTTGATCATGGATCCCCCAGATCAAGCATGGCACGGTGCTATTTCTTGTTGATTATCCCACTTCAGCCTTTTATTTTGCAATATTTCGACTGTTTTTTTAAATTTCTAGTGATTCCACTCAGATTTTTTCATGCGGAAATTGAAAATGCACATAAAAACAGCTGGATGGTGGCAACTCATTGTGACCAAGGACCAGAAACAAATTTCATCTACCAGAATCTATGACTATGCGAATATTTTTGATATTAAAAGTTTAACTGCAGGACACAAGATGTCTCCTCCTTCCATTAAAAGTCCATTCACATTGTTTGTCCACTGGCAGCTGTAAGTTTCATTTAGGATAATGTTTGGGCCTCAGTTCAATCCTCTCGTACATACACATCATAAACTGAGATTTAAGATGAGCACAGAGGAACTTTCCTCTTTCTGCAGGTAAATGTGAAAACAGCACATCATTCACAGCGAAGGTCAAACATCCAAGTGAAGTAATAAAACACATTTTTGAGTGGAGGGGGACTTTAAATCAACTGGTTAACAAAAAACTCAATCCCTGCAGACCTGTGATGCAGTGCTTCATCAAGGTAACCTATTATTATAATTAATTCTCCTTAAAAATGGCCCTAACTTCATATTACATAAAGCAGGGTGGTGTATCCTTCACTACATCCCTGCTGCAGACACATTCACATATTAATTCATCCCCTAACATTATTACTGTGAGGCTGATTTGGTGTAATTCAAGCCTGGTGGTTGTGGAGTATCACTGTACCCAGCCAGGATTTTTTTTTTAAAGAGAGACTGCATTAATGAATCGCAGTTTATTTCCTCTCCTCTGCATCAGTGTGACATGAAAAATGAAAAATGAACCTTAGTGCACTCAGAGCACTTACAGGACTGAGATGACAGTTCCTTTTCCATGTTCCCTTTTCAGGTTTCAACCCTCAAAACGAGGCTAAAACTGCGACAGGATGTATTTCCAGCCACCGTGTGTTGCAGTTTAACAGAAACCTATTTGGACTGGAGGAACTGGGCTCAAAAAAATGTCCATTTTTTTCTCGGGGACAGGCCCTCCTAACCCAAAACCCTGCACCGAAATGGGTCCCCTCCAACACGGGTAATGCTGTTACGCCCTTGCCCACAAGCAGGGAAAATGTAGGGAAGCACAGGGGCGTTTGATTTTAATAACATACTCAAGCAAGCTGCTCATATTTCTATCTTTATATCCGCACAGACCTTTACTTTCCTGGAGATGTTAAAACAATGAGAAGCATGCCAAACGCTCAGTGTCGGTATCCCAGCGAATCTCTCGACCAGACGAACATTACCGCACATGAAACCGCATTTTCCCTTTTTATGTTTTAAAAACTCACCTCATTTGGTTAGAAACCGGCGAAGACGACGCAGCCGGACCATGGTCAACTAAGGTAGAAATATACTAGTTTTTCTTAATAAGATCTATCCCTGTGCTCATTTTCTAGCGGTGTCCTCCTCTCCCTGCAGCAGCCGCTTTCTTTCTCTGCCTCGGCGTTCAGTGTTTGGGTTGAGGAAAAGTGATGTCATTGCATGAAATTGCGTTACCCGCCCCATTTTTTTTTTCAGAGGCTGTCCCATGCTGCCAAACATAACTTCACCATATACTTAAAAAGCTGCCCGTATATGTGGTTTTCTGTGCCTTAAAATATGCTGTGCACACTTAAAAATACTCCTGCAGCGACCATAAATCTGCTCAGATCTGGATATCATTAAGTCGAGCTCAACTACTGTATCAGAAAATAGTTTATTTGTGGATGAGATGTGAGTGTCCTTTTTTTTTTTGTTTTAACAGATGCAAAAATTCAACCCAGACAGAAACATGAAAACACAATAAATACACCCACATGACAAAGTAGTACAATCAATGAACATGTGGTCTAATTGTCTATTGGAAATGACCTGAAAACGTCATTCTTCTGCGGATGACCTCTATGAAAAGGTCAACTCTGTATCAGTCTTTGTGGAAATGAAACATGGGGAACACTTCGTAACACAGCCAACAACTTATTGTAGGTACCAATATGATATTTACTGTTTCCCACCGGTATTAAAAGGATAGCTTCACATTACTTATGGATTTCGACTGGTAAGTCTCATATTAGCTTTACAGTGAGTTTTTGAGGACTGAGGATTTTGTCCCAACTGTTACACTGAAATGGGATCTCTTTGTGGCAATTACAACCAGTGATGGTTTCAATATATATATAGGCATGTGATGTTTATGAAAGACTTGAAAATTGTGAACCTGTCCTTTAAATGTAGGTAGAGTGACAGCAAACAAGGGGAAAGGGGAAATGAATAATATTGGGACTAGTTTTTCTTACTGGGTATTAAAATATAAAAAGGGTATTAAGAGCTACACACTATATTCATCCCACATACCTTATTCTGTTCGTTCAAAATGACGACTAGATTCCTTATCAAACATTAAATATTAGCCATGTTTGATCCTCCTACATCTTTGTAATATTACTACATGACTTTCCTCCTCAGATGACAATAGAAACCTTCTATAGCTAAGGTATGTTAGTTTTCCACTCCAGCAAGCTGCTGCAGTGCTGGACGACCATGCCTGCTAGCAGCAAATTTTAGTTCAAGTATAGACCCAATTCTTAACTTGTTTTTATTTCAAATCATACAATGCCCTAGAGACGTGAGAGACATGAATAAATCACTGGAGTATGAGGGGCGTGCCCCTTTTTTATTTATGATTATCTCCTACACACTGCACTAATGTTTGTTAATGAATGAAACTACAAACTGTATTTTACATTATACAGTAATAAGGTATTTTGGCTTTAATATAATGTGTGGCTGTTGTCCCCTTATAACTCTTTTATTACACAAGTTTGTTAACACCATTTTTCCCAACTTTGGTTGTGTTTCTCAGTGCTGTACCCTGTAGGTAGCCTGAACTCTGAAATGTCTAACTGTGACTCCCATGTTCCCATGCTCTTGTTTTCATCCACTGTACCGACATTTTAAGCACCAGTAGGAATGGTATGTACCCGATTTCCCCAATGAGATGACCGTTATGACGGGCTGTATTATGAAGTCTTATAAAGTGAAACTTGTTCGTTTGATAATGCTGAAGAGGTCGAGTTTGTTCATCTGGGAGCATCAACTGTGGCAGCGTCGATGTCTTGGAGTGAATTATCAGTGGCGTCTTCTTCACCTCCTACAACCTCTGACACCACCTAGGTAGAAGAACAGGAAGTTTTTATTGGTACAGTTGATCTGTTTGTCTCCAAGGTGTCATTTTCTAGCTTACTCAACATACACTCAGTTAGTAGTTTATTGGGAACACCTAAAACTGCATCCTAATTCCATAGGCTTATAGAAAATCCTCCGTCATGAAGGTTTCAATGTTCAGTTTTTGTTAAAATTATGTTTAAGAGTTGTTGATTCAACTGTATAATAATTTTGGAGGCTGTAGTTTGTGGTGGTGTTGAAATACACTGCTTTATGTTGACAAGCATTATTTATTTTGTCCACCCCATTCAAATCAATGAGGATAAACTAAACAACCATTGTTTTGTTTTTATGTTGTTCCTTGGATGGCTCTTTTTATAGTTTAATGCTTTTATTATTAAGTTTAGTTTAATGTTGTTTTTACCTATGTTTTACTTTAACAGTATTCATCTCCCTTATTTCGGTAATCAGCTTAATTTGATAAGGGGAGGAGAGCACTGTAATCAGCATGTTTTTTATGGATGAATAAATTGAACCTTGACATGAGACAATACAGAATACACTAGTGAACTATGGTAAATAAAACATTTCTTCCAAGTACATTTTTGGGCTTTTTCTGCCTTTATTATCAGTTGATGATAGAGGACAGGAAGTGAGAGGAGAGATGGGAACAGCATGAAACCAAGTTGCTGGCTGAACCAAGAACCATTCATGTCAAATGCACTTTGCAAAAGTGGCAATCCATGTTACCCTCTTTTCACAGGACACAACACTGCCCACACCCTCCTCCCACTTGAAATCTTTCAGTGCAAAGAATTGCCAGGTCTATGGCCAAAGTTTATTGTTTTGCTACATGTTTAAAACATGAGTAGCACAGATGGATGAGGCAAGCAGAGACATGTCATTTAAGGATAACACAATTTCTCAATTCTGTCTGAAAACATTCGTCAGGTCTCCATATGGACATAACAGGTTTTGCTTGGTGTAAGCATTCCTTTTGGTTATACTGGTCATGAAGGGACCCCTTCCCAATGCACCTCTGATGTAACCCAGGTGCTAATATTATCACTGAAACTGGTTTTGCTTGCTGTTATTGTTCCGTGTGTTCATACAGATCCCTTCCTAACTTGTTTTCAATGACAGTGATCGGGGACAAAATCCACAGTCCTCATTCTATGCAAAAAAAAAACATTCCAACAGACAAGTAGGACAAATGAAGTAGCTTCCAAAGTTAGTCTTTTTAATCTTAAAGTTCTCAGTTTCCCTGGACAGTGTGTCCTTGCTGAGCTGCAGTGGAGGGATAACACCACAAGGGACCTTCGTACTGAAATGAATGCAACTCTGGAAGCTAGCAACTGGATTTGTCAAACCCAGACTGCTGGACCTTCATTAACTTATGATAAGCTTTAGAAAATATTTTTGCATGGGACAAGGACTGTGGATCCTGTCACCCATCACTGTAATTGGAGGCATGTTCGGATAGAATCTCTTAACGGTCAGTATGAACAGGAGGAATTATAGCAAGAAAAAGAAACTCTTAAATAAGCACTCAAATAGTGTTTTAAGACAGACTTAAAAACGTGAATCTATCCTTTAAGTTACATTTCTTTTCCCCAATTTACATTCATTGCATAATTTGACATGGCTTGAAACTGAAATTGTTCAGTCTGACACAGATTGTGACCAAGATTGTATTAGACCTGCCTCTAACAGTGTGACATACTACGAAGAAAGCCCCTAGTTAAGAGTTAACCTGGTCATCCATGATGGCATCCACATCTCTTTCTGAGGCATCCAGGTCGACCTGGTCTGGGTCTTCTCCAGTAAGGATGTCCATTGGGGCCTCAGCAATGGCTCTGATGGTCTGGTCCTCGAGGGCCAGGGCTGTGTCAAACTGAAGAGGGGACGGAGGGCCCTGCATACCATCCCCTTCCACATCCAGGTCCTGTATAACAGGAATATTTATGAAATCTAAATCTTAACATTAAACTTGTTATAGGAGCCATTTTCAGTTGTATGTATATATGTTTGTTTCATGTTTACATCACTGGTCATCAGGCATCCTTGTTTTGGTACAATTGATCCAGATATACTTAAAGAGGTCAATGCAATCAGTTTCAGGTGTTGCTGCTGCTCTGTGTATGAGAGAAACTTGCAGTTTTTGACTGTTTGTACCACACCTAGCCATTGTTTAAGCCCAATTTTATGTTTTTACATTCCAGAGATCATTTTATAACAAACGAACAACAAATGTGAGCTGTAAAGATCTGGGTAATAAATATGAACTTTTGATCATTTATTACAACACAAGTCACAACTAAATCATATAGTAGCAACAGTTTAATGTTGTTTTAAGAGCTGCAATAGTCACTACACTTAAATGTTAAAACACAAGTCATGTACCCATGGCTTCTTCAAAAGATGCCAGCAGTAGTATTTTAAGGATGCGTTCACACTTGTAGTGCAGTTCATTTGGTCCAGAAAAGAAACAGTTTTTTTTTTTTTTTAGTTCTGGTTCATGTTCACACTGACCTTTTTTTCCCCCAAATAAACCAAGAGCTGTAAACATGAAGTCATATGGACTGCCAGGTAAATAATGGATGTTACAGTTATGGCAACTGCTGCACTCATTTTACCATGGTAATACATAGCTCACTCTTGACAATTCATATGAATTTATGCTAAAAATCACTCACTCATATCACACAGTTCTAGCACCCACCCTCTTCAAGTGCACCAGAGTTAGGGAATTTACAAACCTGTAGTTTTTTTGTTTTGTTTTTTTAACCCTGGTTGTTTTCCCCTCATGATTTGATTCATTATCACAGATTTGAAAAGAGCAAACCGAAGCACTGAGACCCTTTAGAGGAAGTGGCTTCTTTCCAGTTAGACTCAAACTCATCGGCTCATTTGTAGAGAGAACTTGATCTGACCCAACCACAAAGTGTTCTCTGCACATCTGAGCTGAATGGCTCCCCATAGCCAGGTGCCATTTGATGCCAATGAATGGAATCAACATTTACTAGCAGCTATCTGGAGGACGAATCAAGGCTGAACCTAGATTAGCTATCAAGTACAATGCCTTCTTGATATTTGGGCAGATAAGACTCTCACTCCGGCCAGAGACACATCTAAGTGAATGTTGTCACATGCCTTTTAGTAATGCATTTTGGTTTACTTCTGTGTGAAAAGAAACCACACCAAGGGGAAAACACAGCAAGTTAACCAACAGAGGAAACAAACTATACACTTGATAACGCCCTTAGATTGAGAGATTGAGTTGGAACTGCACCAAAGACAGTAGCTGTGAAAGCATCCTAAAATACCAGCAATCCAGTATCTAATAATAAGTATGGAGCATGACATTTTTGTTACAGTACAAACACATTAGAGGAGAGTGGTTGGGCAAGAAAATATCTACGTACATCACTGAACTCTAAGGGAAGGCTCTCTGTGGGCTGAAGCTCTGCTGCACTCAGATACATGTCTTTGCTTGCAAGGGTGAGCTGATCCTGTGGTGGAGGTTCCTGCTCAGGCTGGTACATGGGGGGAGGCAGGGTGAGGTGAAGTGGGCAGCGAGGATCGTCAGACTGACCCATGTGCACGGTACGGTCACAGGGAACATCTTTCAGGCCTGGACACATTTTGAAAAGCACCTGATTGCTGTCCTGGTAGATGTCTGAGTATCTGGTTGTCAAGGAAAATGACTTGATGTACACACACATACAAATGAAAACTAGAACAAAACAGATAAAGAAACTGCCCCCACCAAGTGCTGACATGTGGACTTTGATTAAGAAACTTTAGCCTCTAGTACTACAATTCTTCCTATGAAAACAATCTTGCTGCATTATTCCTCAATATAAAGCTCCTTATTGTGTAGGTGCACAAGGTTCAACTCTATTAATGTTATGGCTGAGTAGTTTTGTACAACGAGTTACTGAGTTCTGTCTAAGCATAAACTTTGGGTTTGAACAATTTGTTCACAATGCAACACGGGTGTCTGGACAGTTTAATCACCATCTGTCTAAGGTGGCAAATATGCAGAACACAAATTTCAGTAGTGCAATGAATGATTTTGTTGTTCTTAGCTGATACGTTGAATTCTACCATGTAAACCCAGATGATTGATGAATGATTTGGGGTTAAAATAAAAGGCAAGTTGGGAAGATATTTTGTTCCTTCCAACTGAACTGATTAGCCCCTGTGTAACTCTGGGAAAAATCAACAGACCACAGGAAGGAGTTAATGTAGGCTCCCTTTGAAACCAGCAGCTACTGCAAGCTGCTGGTCTTGATTGGGGCCAAGATGAATATGGTTTAAAAAGAGAAAGACGAAGGACAGTTTAAATGAGTAGATAAACATGCAGTTAAGTTTGAAATGTAAACAATAAAAGCAAGTATAACCAAGCACTGTTTGAGAATGTAAGTTTTTCTTCCATTCAATACAGGAAAACTAATCTGTGGTTTCTTGTATGGAAGGGTCATGCTATTGGTGGCAAAACCCATATTGAAAACATCATTGAGGATACGTGAGAGACAGTGCCGGGTCATAGGCAGGCAGGGATTGGTACATCGGGTTCCCTCCACAAAGGAGATGCATTTCTCATAGACTGTTCTTGAGTGTGGCTACAACAGAGGAAAGAAGTGTTGGATAAAATCACACTACACAAGGGCAAAAACGATCAACCAAGAAAAGAGTATTTCTTTTACAACTATAATCATGCCTAAGAACATTATCATTCCTGGATGCCACAAAATGGTCAGAGGAAAAGCCTGACAATTGAGTGTAAGTGTCTGATGTCCTTCATGTAATGGGCTTTCCAAATCTCACATTTCTGCTGTTGCACTCAAATATGTTGAGCATAATCTTAAACCAAATGTATGTATTATCCCAATTCACTGTAGTAATCAACGTACTTGAGGACACTACCCCCCCAATATACATTTAAAGCACAAACCCCCATGTGTGATATATGTCAAGAATCCACAGAGCACTCAGTAGTGCCTGTCTGTAGTGCACTCAGCATTGAAAACTTTCTTTAAAAAAAATGCATCTCAGTAAATATGGGTAGCACATATATATCGGTGGTAGAGGCCCAATCTTACACTTCCATATAAAGTATTTGGTCTCACTTTCAATCAATTACATCTCTAATCAACTCATACAACACAGAATACACATTTAAAAAAAAAAAAAATACATATTGAGTATATTCTCCAACTCTGTGCGCCTTTATGGGAAAATGACATAAGGCACTGGATATCAGTTGTCAAAGGGACATCTGTATTTCTTTAGTAGTAATGTAGTTAAAGTTAAAACTGTTGACTTTGTCTGTGACTTTGATTTTAGTTCTGGAAAAAATTACAAACATAATTCCCTTCACCCTTGTATACTGGGGTGGTGGCAGAAGTTCACACATGTATATCATAAAAGCTGCACAGATAAACTATTCACATGCTAGACACCACTAAGAGTAAATGACTTTTTTGTGCATTGGTGAATTGACTCTTAAACATTAAATCGCACCTGAGGAGCTCCTTCTGTCACAGCCTGCCTCCTTTCCCTCAGCTGCCGGTGCAGCAGGGCTTCCACGCCATACCGACGACGGTATCGGCGCAGAGCTTTGAGCTTCTTCAGGTTCTCTCTTTCCTTCATTGACAGACCTTCAGGGCCTGTCAGCAGACTGCTCCCTGTTATCAACATAAACAAATACAGATAATTGCTAACGCCTGTGAACATAAAAGGGTGTGGGTTCATTTCCTAAAAAGAACTGTTGGAACAGCTATGTAAACAAGGCAAAATACATTTAGTTTGTGACCAACAGTTGTATATTCACCAAGAGTTTCGTGCTCCACTTTGCGGTTGTGCAGGTATCTGCGCTTTTTCTCCTTCAGCAGGTGCTGCAGGCGTTTGAACTGGTCAATGTAGAGGGACTGGAGCCTGATGAGTTTTTCTCGAGTGATGAGAGCCACCTCCTCTGCTGTGTATACTCCTGCATGTCTAAGAGACATTTTTACATCATTTTAGAATGTAAAGCTCCTCCAGTTCCTCAGTGCATTATGGGGCAGTACGCTACATCAACGGCATACTGAAAAGTCAAGTGTTTTTAGTATGCATACCGACTTTTTGACTTAACTTAAATTTGTTTCCAGTGTGCACACGATACATACACAAAATTTCCTCAGAATTAGTTTGTAACAGGGAACAGCTATTGCTTGATGCAAATGTTAAATAAATGTATTAAGCACCTTTAAAGTAAAGGTTCTTATTCACGCTACAATATAGTTCAAATAAAAATACAATAAGAGATTAAAGTAAACCTTTACAGATGGTTGAATAATTCAGCTTACTTCAGAGGATCCTCATGATCACTGTCAACACTGTCGGCTTCACTGTCAGGGTCTCCTCTCCATGTCTGGTCAAGTACCAATGGTCCCTGCTCCTCCTCACTCAGACTGTCCTCATCTGTCCAGATGAAACTTAGTTAAACATCAAAATTATATCTAAACATAGATGATAATGTCATCATCAATTTCCCCATACCTACACAGCAGAACAAATAAGAATCACGCCACTGACGTGTCTAGAGTTGACAAAATATTTCCCTGGAACTGACCATTTACCTAGAATACGACTTGCTTCAGAACGACCTCCGTCAAGGCTGTGTGTCTCTGCACGGTTGTATCCACTAAGCTGAGACAACAGTGCCTCTGGGGATGGACCGGAAGACGCCTTTCTCATCTGAGCTCGGAGAGCCATGGCATTCCTGCGAGCATGCTCTGCACAGAATGTCACTCTGAGAAACAGTCAGAGTAATTGGAGAAGAGGTGTCAGTAAACTGCTTGGATTTGTCATCAGGTATCTTATCACATAAAAGAAATTCAGACTCTGTTTTCTACTCACCCATCTTTCCTCTCGACTTTTGGTGCAGCGTTGGGGCAGCGCTTGCCATTCTTGGCAGAGACATAACTGCACTGCTTGTATGGGGCATTCTTGTCCTCAAGAATGTGTTTGATACAGAACTCCAGGCCTTCCAGACGGGGCTGAGAGCAGGGTCGCTGGGTGAAGGAGCAGGCCTGAGGCTCCTGAGGTCGGGGTGTCTGGGTCACCCGGTTCCGACTTGATGGCAAAACATGGATTCGTATCCTGTTCATTGCAACTCTGCAAAAATGATTAAGACAGTGAGTATTTTGATAATTAATCATTTGATCCATTCTTTCAAGCAAAAGCAACAAACATTTGCTGGTTCTAAAAAATTAGGATTTACTGCCTTCCTCTGTCTTGCATGACAGTAAACCATATGTTATATCACCTAGAAAAATACAAGGGACCTTTTCATTATTTTTATAGGTTCAATGATTCTGAAATTGAGATCAAAACTACGATACATGCATCTATAATGTTATGTCGTGATACCAGCAAACAGAACCACAAGCACTCATTACGTTACAAATGCAGCAAACCTGATTTCTTTTTTCACAACTAACACTATAATGCATGTAAATTAGGGAAATTAAAATTCTATTTAAATTATGGGCAAGCTGTATATTTTCTAACTATTACACATTACACCTGTTTTATTGTCTTAAAACTGCATGCCTCACGTGACTATTAATGATCAAGAGATCCGGTCTGCATAAAAACTGGGCTAGTGTAATTAGCTCAAGATAATAACCCTGAGATGGCAGACCTCCTGGGTACATTCAAGTCAGAAGTGTGGGAAGATTTTTTGTTATCCCCACCCAAAAACACAGGTATGAACTTAATCTTGGCTCAAAAGAAAATCAAACCGAACCGTAGATTTGGTGAATCGTTACACTTCTAGTTATTTTCTGGCATTTTATAGACAAAAGGTTTATATGGACTATGGTTGCAAGAGCTACACCAACTACTAGAGATTAAAGTAGTGGCCAACTGATTAAATATAATCAGAAAACCATTTCAGCAAATTCATTTTTTAATACATTTTTGAGCAAAAATATCCCTGGTTTGAAGTCTGTTGCCTGATTTTTGTTATTTATGGCAGTAAACCTGAATATCCTTGAGTTTTTTTCTGTTTGTTGGACAAAACCAGATATTCAAAAATATCCCCTTGAAGAAAATACAATGGACATCAGAGGATTGTCTTACATTTTGTAAACAAACAATTAAGAGTTAGACTAACAACTAAAGATGAAAGCAGTATCTGATTGCCAGAAAATTAGTTAGACAACTATTTTGATGATCAATTAATCGTTTCAGACATTTAAAAAAAATCCCAAATATTTCCTGGTTTCTAATCTGCAGCCTTGTGATGCTAGATGCACTAAACCAGATATATGAAATTATGACCACGAGCTCTGGGAGAATACAATGGACGTTTTAGGGTTTTAAAAAAATATACATATTTGCAGACAAAATGATTCAATTTAAATGTGGAGGCTGGGAGATACTCTAACTGCATAATACAAATAAAATTTGGGCTGAATCAGATATCACAAAGACATGTAATTGCGGGCGATGCTTTAAAGCAGAGAATTTGACATAAAATACACACATTTTATGAATCCAAGTGGCTTATTTAGCCGTTTAATAACAAATTGGGTCCAAAGTTCAAAGATGTTCAAGTATGGTGATTTTTTAAAAGGCAGGATCCAAACACAACTATATGAATCTTAAGTAATAAACACCATGTTTATGACAGTTATGACACAAAGAGATTACATTTAACTATTGTTATTCATCATATTAAGTTAAGTAACGTAGCAGGCGGTGGCAGGTCAAGTGGCTTGTCATATTCCGATCAAGTTTCTGAAGTGTTTGTGTTAATTTAACACACGATACATATAAACAACGGTTATACATCCCAAAGCAATCACAGCCTTACTAACTTATGGGTGGAAATGTTTTCATTGCAAATATAAATGTAGTAGAAGTACATTCCTCTGTGCTGAACAAATCTAACCAGGCGCCACACCACGCTTTAGCCCGCCTCTCTTTACTGCGTCACTCTTTCACTTATTGGGTCGCCATCTTTGTTAAGAGTTGCTAACACTAGCTAACCGCTAATTTTCACAATTCACGGCCAAGAACCGAATTCTACAAACCGCTGACAACAGATAGTCGTTTTTCTCAGTATCGTCGAAATGCTGCAGTGCTAGAAGACGACTATATCCTCGTTTTTGTGTTTATAGTCGCTTACCTTCCTTTCAACCGTCCGATCGAGTCTGGCTCCCGCAGTGCACTATACCGATTTTCTAACGTTGACTAATAACTGCCACAACTGCTGCAGTTTCACACTGGCCCCGCCCTCTCGAAGCTCTGATTGGCCAAAGCTTCAAGAGTTCAATGTATTTCATTGGCCAATCTAGTTGCCACTCAAAGTACCATCAACCATAATATTTATTACATATTGCAGCAGTGAAGTTTTACAAAAACATGCAATGCAACAAGCGTTTTCTTAAAATATTTATTGACTTTAATTGAGAATAAAGCAACCACATTATATAAAAAACAGTGTTTACATACACTACCAGTGAAAAGTTTAAAAACACCCTCCACGTTTCCAGTTTTATTATTGGAAATTTGAGCAGGACAGTGGTTAACCTTAAATGGTGCAAAGGTAAACAGTAAACTTTTTCGGTGACCAAAAACTGAAAAATCAAAAAATTTCCTAAATAACAGGTATTTTTCAGGTTTTGTGAATTACATTCACTTACTGCTTTCCTGCAGTAATGGAAGTAAATGAAGCCTTGAAAGTTAATGCAAACAATTCCTACAGGTCCCCAAACATTTGTTGATGACTTGCAAACCCTCTGTCTGTACAACGGCAGTGCTCAAACAAACTGTGTTACTACACCCCTGCATTATTAGGACAATAATGTACTGCAGGAACGAGTACTGTATATTGCTATCAGAATGGTGAGAACAAGGCAAGTAACACAGGAAGGCAGACTGGTTGGCCGGGGGTTCATTCTATAGCAAAGCAATGTCCCAAAACACTGAAAAAAAAGAACTAGACACTGGATTCATATGATGGAAGACCAGCACAGTCTCCAGACTTAAACGCCATCGAGCTGGTTTGGGATGAACTGGAACGCCACAAGTTTATTCAGCTGAGTCAAAAATTTAGATTAAATTTATAGGATATAGGATTCCATTATTCCTTTTCATAATCTTTATTATTCATTTGTTCTATGCTTTCATTTCAGAAACACTGAGACATTACACTGTAAACTTCAGTAACAACTGGAAAAGGGGGTGTTCTAAAACCTTTAACCGGTAGTGTATAACCTTTTAACTGAAAAAAAAAAAAATCCCAAAATGTTTCATTTCCAGACCTGAGTGTCACTAAAAACACCAAGACGTGAAAAGACATGAAAACTTATTGTAGCTATGTGATTTTGCATTGTTAGGTTGCATGAGTGTCTTCCGTTCTTCTCACATATGGGTTTATTTTAAAATTGCGTGTCCTTTTGTATAACTTTCTCACAGCATTAAGTTAATACTTAAATGGGAAGATTTGTCCAGATTAAATTAAACAATTTTCAAAAATGGCAATGATATATTGGACGTCTATTCTAATAGTCTAACCATAATACATTTAACACTTGGTCAATTGCATTGTAGGCAATCCTACTGAGATAAATATTCAGTGCATTTACTGTTTCCCTGTTACAACCAAGAGTTGAATAACTAATAAAACCTCTGCTGCCTGAGCAAAGAGCTGTATTCTTTCAGCATATCTTCCATATATCAAGGGAACAAAAATATTTTACAATTGTATGGCTGATTTGTTGTACTGCATTACTGTGAACTGCCTAAAAGAAATTGTTGATTACAAACTGAAACACACAGAAAGCAGGTTAAGAGCAGTAACACTATACAATCAAAACCATATAAAGCTTAATATGAATTAAATGTACAGATGATACCCGATTCTCTTGCCAACAAATAGCACCTCTTCGACCATTTTGCTCCAACACAAAATTTAAACATTAAATCAGATTAATTACAGTATTATACTTCATGCTCATGACCCTGTAGTGGAGGTATGTCAATAACCTGCTTTGCCGTGTATGATTTTACACAACTAAAGAACACATGCAACATTTTTTGATGAATCATGGCTTGTGGAAGGGTTACAAACAACAAACTGAAACTGAATATCCACCAATTTAGTTTGAAGGTATGGAGTCAAAAGACAGCTTTAACATGACTAAATTGAAACAGCGTGAATTGTCAGGTGTACACTGCAGTTTACACATTTGAAACATCCCCACAGGAAATGCATAAATGAAAGACAACCATAAAGACAGACAGATGGCCTACGATCAGTCATTGATAATCTGTATTGTGAATACTTTGTTGTACACTGTGCTCGATATGGTCACCACAAAGTGAGAACCAGCACAAAAAAATAAAAAAATTTGCCTTAGTTTCAGGGTGAAAATGTTGTGTATCCATAAATGCTGCATATTTATATCTTTTAATGTAATTGTGATCACCCCAAAAAGACTCCCTCTTGAGGAAACAGATGGACAAGTCAGCATAAGAACTCATTTCTTCTCTCGAGAGATTTTTTTGTTGGCAATTCCTTCATTGTGACCATACCGGGTAGATATGTTTGAACTCTCTGAACCCTTTGATAAACCATAAATGTATATGCTTGGTATGAACTTTGTCCATTAGTGTAATTATTACAGAACTGAATGTGAATATTTTACAACCATTTAAAACAATGACTGCAACACTCCAAATCTTAAAAACAAAAAAGTACAAGCTTCCTCAATTTACATTTCTTTTTTTTTGCTATTTTTTTATAACAAAATGTAAAAAATATTTCATGTTTGTTTTAAACATTTTACAATCTTTGTACAAGTTTACCAAATAATGCAGGAAACAAAATAGATAAAACACCGGGGGGGGGGCTTTCACCTTTTTTTGAGGTTATGGCTGAAGAAGAAAATATTTTTTTAAAAAAAGACAAAAATATTGAAAAGATGGCTTTGGAGACATGCACTCTCAAACTAGCCTTTACAGTCTTGATGAAGAAATATCCCTCTGGCCAAAATGAACATAGAGGGGAAGCCTTAAAAAAGGTAGAAAAGGGGACTATGTTTTTTTTTTTTTTAAGTATTCAATTAATAAATAACATACTATAAAAACATTATAAAAAGACAATCGGTAAGAAGACATAACAGGTATGTGATGGAAATCTTTTAGTTTCCTCATGATTTCAAGACAATGACTTCCTTTAAAAACAGTAATCAGGTCCCATCATCACATTTCATTTGAGTAAAGAATAAAAGAAAAAAAAAAAAACTTATCTACACTTTGCTGTAATTTTTTTTCTCACATTTTGCAAGCTTTTCAAGCCTCTCATTATTGCCCCACTGTAAAATGAAAAATTAATTTATCTCACCAGTACATTTCTCTGCTGTCACACCGAAGCCCATTAAAAAACGTTGGGTGAGTTTTTAAAAAAAATTATTCAATACTTTATGTAACAAGATGGATGTTTGTGATGTCAAGCACAATGTACATAATAACATCTCCTGATCAGGAACTCATTTGGGTAACGGTGGCAGTGGTGGAGGTGGTTCTGAAGGGAGGGGTGGGGGTCTGGGGTTGTTCCCTCTGGAGCCACTGCTGTACCGAAAGTCCCCATATTGGGATCTATAGTCAAACATGGACGGCTGGGACGGCTGGACCCCTTGTGCGCTCAGAAGAGAGTTTAGCATTTCAAAAGTGTCCTGGTACTCATTTGACTGGGCTCCGCCCGCCGCACCATGCCCATTAGTGTCTGTCTTGTCACTTTTGGAGTGCGAAAAGCTCCCTTGGTGGTGGGGAAGGCCCAGAGCAGGAAGAATGTCAGGACCGTGCCCCAGAGTTTGCCCAGATGAGGAAGACAGGGACGGTAGCTGGTAGGGATTCCTAGAGGACTTGCTGACTTTTGAGGCAGGGTGAGAGCCTGCTGTGCCATCCTGGGAGTGTGTCCTCTTACGTGATGTAGAAGAGGATGAAGAGCTTGTTCTAGAGGAGTCGCTAGGGACTTTTTTGCTGCTTCCTACTGCCCCACTGGAGCTAGATGAATGTTTATGTGAAGAGGAAAGGGAGGCACTGCTAGAGGAGGAGGAGTGGTGGTGGTGATGATGATGGTGGTGGTGATGATTAGACCGTTCCCTGTGCTTGTCCCTGCTCTTGCCCTCCTCTCCTGAACTCCCCCTTTGCTTCTCAGGCACTCGTATTCGGACTTTGATGTCCTGATCTTGACCTCGGGTGCTGCTGCTGTGCCCACTGCCTCCCCCCCCTGCTACAGGGAAACGCATTTTCAGAGAGCTCCTGTCGTGCCTCTCCTTCTCCAGGGGGATTTTCAGAATTATGGGCGAAGGGCTGGACATGTCAGAGGAGGAGGTGCTGGACTGCTGGTGATGATGCTGCTGCTGCTGCTTCTCCTTCCTCTGCTGCTGACCAATGAGAGCCTGGGCAGCATTAGCATAGTCCCTCTTCACGCTGGCCTCCATGTTCTCCAGCTTCCTCTTCTGGGCAGCCAGGACATCTGCATTCTTGGCACGGTACTCGCTTAGTGATACTTTAGCCGGGGCATGGACCTCATGGTTGGGCGGCTGCTGCTGTTGTTGCTGCTGCTGCTGCTCAGATCCAGCCTGACCTTTTCCACTCCAAGTCTGAGCGCTGCCAGAGGCTCCCCTCTCCTTATCACCCATGGATGAGGAAGAAGAGGCAGACGGCGGAGCTGAGAGGCTCATCAGACCTGCCACAGTACTCTCAGATGAAGCCATAGAGATCATACTCATCATGGTGTCCCTCTGGTCACCCTCCTCTTGGACCTTTGGCTTGACTTTGGGTGTTTGACCTCCAGCCTTGAAGGCAAGAAAACCGACAATTACTGTTAAGTGAGTCAATTAAAAATGCCCACAGGATGCAGGATGCTGTGCTCTGTAGGTTACAAAGGACCAATGGGGGGAAAAAAAAAAGATGTACCTTCCAATTGCGAATCCGTTTCAAGCGGCTGGGTGTTTTTTCCAGAATCTGCAGGAACTCATGTGTGAGCTCTGAGGGAAGTTACATGTTATAGTTTAATGTTATTAATCCCCAACATTTATCATATTAACCTCTAGCGGTTGTAAGACCTTAGGGTCCTTCTCAAACACATTTTTCCTGCTTGTATTACCAGGTCCTTTGCAGCACATACCATCCAGCAGTTCCAGGGTGACTGTGGGATCAACATACTCCCACCAGTGTTTGCCGTCCGTAGACACGGGGATCTCCCAGTTGGACCATTTGCAGGCGAGGTGGATGCACACGCAGGCCACAACTGGCGGACTATACTGCAGGCAGAACGTGGTCAAGTGCAGACTACGTGGCAGGATATGTCCCAGAAGGAAGAAAAAACAGAAACAGGAGGAGAAAGAACAGACATTCAGTATATTGAGTTTGAGGATTATACTAAATACACTCAAAAGATATGAAAAAATGCTCCACCATTTTATTCTTCATATCAAAAGAAACAATAGCTAATGTTTTACAGTAAACTGTAAATATACCTGTTTGTAGCCATAAAGTATGATGTTTGAGCCAAATCCTTGCTCGCTGGAACAACAACAGAACAAAGAAATACACTTAAAACCTGCAAATTAATAAACGAATGAGCTAGCTTAAAATCATGCTGAATTATCAAAACGGAACTTCACAAAATCGAAGAGTTGATACTCACCTCTGACAAGCTGAGTGCACTTGACAACATGAGTATGTGGATGGTCAATGGTGATTTCAAAAGCTGCAATAAAAAGGGGACAAAAATAGGCAGAGTTTAATAAAGAAAAAAAATATAAGCACCAGACAGTAGTATCTAATCAGATTTCCATGATAAAGATTTTTTTCCCCATTCAGTAGTAATCACTAACAAAGGTCCCTGAAAATCAGAAAATGAATACTGTTACTAAATGTTGCAAAGGATGTAGAATATCACTTTGCGTGGGGTCTTCTGATAACATCCTGGACAACATGAAAATGTTAACTGTTGAATGTGAAAAACATTAATGGCATGTCAGTTAATTTTACAACTTATTTCTGGACTCTTGTTCTGGTGCATGACAGTGAATTCAATCGAAGCCAATGTTATTTTCTTCAACTCCAAGCTTGAAAACATGGCATAGGATTAAGCAGTCTGTAGCGAACATACTAAAAGCCACTGTTGATAATGCAGCAAGTCATCACAAAGACCTACTACAAATGGCTAAAAAATATGAAGGAAAAAAGGAAATGTGAGGTGTTAAGGACATAAAACAAAAGAGGAAAAACGGCTAATTTAACGCCGGGTAAAGCGATGCTAATATGAAGCATGAGTGTGTGTCACTTTCCAGTGCGTCTAACCACTTATGGGGTTTCTGTGGACAAAAATAAAAAAAGGTTAGCACTATTTTTATAATCACGTGTTTCTGGAGGGAAATCAAGGGACCCGGGTCTTCCTTCCCAACTTACCCAAGGTCTGGAGTATTATGCTCTCAAGAATGACCAGGTCTTGGGCTTGTTGCAGGTAGGCCTGAGGTTGAGAGGACAGGCACGTTACTCACTGGGCGCCCTCTATCCGTTGTCAAACAAGAACAACTGGACACACTATGTGATGTCTGACCATTCATATGAATGATCTCTACGTTAAAAATAAAAGGTCCGGTTGCTGATGTTCAAACATATTAAACCTACCTTTCTTGTAGGACTGACTTAAGCTACGTAGCAAGTACAGATGCTTTTGTTTTACAACTAGTAGACATCACATTACCTGCATGACTGAAAACCTACAGACACTGAAATGCATTTCGTCTTTTGACCCACGTATCATGCAACATCGACATATGAGGTAATAAAAGCTCATTATTAAACACCTCATCATGTAGTTGTACCCAGTTCAAATGCAATGTGAAACTCAAGCATACAAAAAGAAAATTAAAATAGCTGGTAACCTTATTCCAAGATAGATTAGATTTTAAAACATCAGGAGAAGTGAAATGTGATGACAAGTGTCACAAATTGGAGCAATGAAAAAGTCAGTGGCCGACTCAAATCAAATGTCAAAGTGCATCTACAAAGAAAAGTTTAAATCCAAATTGTTGTTTCTGAATGACCACACATACAAAAAACAGTACAATTAGTAAACCAAAAATAACCTGCACAAATTACACTTACATTTCACAGTAACTGAACTGTATTATTGCAGGGATCCCCTATCATGTAAACACATTAAGTGACAAGGAAAAAATGCGAGTATTTTTCACTTACATCACTGCGCACATCAGGTGAAGGGTCCTGAGGATTGAGGCATGCATGAGCCACTTTGATAACATGTTCCAGCTTTCGGGGCTGTTCCTCAACCTTAGCTGCAAGGAAGAGAGCTGCAGGAGCAATAACCTGGCATGGGGAAACCAGAAATACCAAAATAAAGTTCATGGGATGGCAGATTAACATATTGAAAGTAACATCAGGAGTTTCAGGTGACCATGACAAACAATACTTACATTTCTGTGAAATCTGGTGAAAGACTGGACCATGTAGAATCGATGCATGTACACAATAGCTGTATTAATTGTAAGTTGGGACCTGATGTATTGCAGTTAAGGACAATGTGGTAAAAAGCACTAAAACACTTGCGATTGTGTAAAGGGGTTATGACTTGAATAATTAGTTTCAACGTGAAATAACATAACTGAAGAGTTTCAATTTAGCTAATAACTCATAAAAATAAGCATTACATTAGTCTGTTATCACATTAGTGGCAGAACAACAAGTTGAAACTCCAGCTAGCTTCACATCAATCTGAGGTTAGCCGGAAGCAGTCATTATAAATAAAATATTGAGGGGTTGACCCTAAACGTGTAAATCGTTAAACACTTAGACTAAAAACACAATGTTCCTAGACATATAACACACTCTGCTACGCTACAGATTTTCTTCATAAGCATTTACAGCAAGAGGTGAAGCTAATGCTAACGTCCTGAAGGCCCGCCGACCACAGGCCTTCACGGCCCCGGTTCAGCCTACTACGCCGCTCGGAGGTAACGTTAGCAAGCTATCGTGGACACGACAAAATTACAAACCACCACACGATACAGATGGGAAACACAACAACAAACTACAGGCCTTCGAACGAAACACAATAACAAACACCGGCGGCGGTCTCAGCCGAACCGGCTTCACGAGAAGCTAAACCTCGCTAGCTAACAAGCTAACGTAGGCTAGGTGAGACGCAAGTCGACCCACGACAAAAGATACACATTGAGCCGCTGTCCCATGTCCTGGAGCAGATTCGCTGCCTGTTGTCTGTAGGACAGTTCCTTGTCGGGATCAAGTCCAGCTCGCCGAGATGGGCTGTTGTCGATCTGTTGTCGTGTGTAGTACCATTTGTTATTACAGCTTGCAGGGAGAGAACGAAACGAAGCCGCCATCACTAAGAAGGACGAGAGTTTAAAATTTCTGCGCGTCACAGGAACATACGTCACATCGAGAGTGGGGGTCGGGGGCGGGGGGTGGGTGCGGGGCGGGGCGGGGGGGGGTGGGTGGGTGGGTCGGGAGGATTATAATTCCGTTAGTGACCAGCAGGCGGCACTAAAACTCCCCAACAATTTTTTCCCTGGCATTTGTTTTTGTTTTTTTTTAATTACTGTTAAATATGTGCTCTTTGGTTTTTATAGTGTTTGCAATATAAAACAAAAACTTTTATATAATAAATCTTTTTATTATCTTAGAAATAGCTAATGTCCACAATGTTCATTTTATTACACAACAGAAAATCAACTTTTCATTAATGAAATACAACAGTACAATCGAGGCATAGTGCTCTACCAGCCCCAAAACATTAAAGAATATGTGTAAATTATTCAATCATTTATATGAACTATTAAAGCCTCATGTTGAACTTTTTGTTCAAAACTTGTTTAATTGAACTTCAACCCCTGGAGCATTTCATTTAATTGTTTATTAGTTTTGTAATTTAAAAAAAAGTCACAATAGTATCACAAAAAGAAGAAAATACCATTTTCCTACAACTTTATGTTCCCACTAGACAATCTGACCAAATTTTTTTTGACACTTGCTATGATACACTTTCATGTCTTCTGTTGCTGGTGCTGAAAACACTTTGTATGAAGCCATAGGTTAGAAAGCCATCACTTTTTTATATCTGGGTCCACAACAATTTAATGGCATGTACAGTCCCTGTTAAGTCTCAAGTCTTCATAAGCAATCTGCAAGTCAGTTACAAGTCTTCCAGGTCTCTGCATGCTAGTACATAAAACACCATTAGAACACTTTATTTTTATAGCTGAGACCAATTTTGATTAATGCATTGGCTGGAAAATTAAATAAATTAGGTTGTGAGAATGTGCAAAGCTTATCTTCAGATGTCAAACTAATTTCTTAATGTTCCTGGATCTCATCAGGTCAAAACATGACACCAGAATGTTTTTTGTATCAAGTTTCAAATAGTCAAGTATAAGTAAAGTTTATATGTCCTACATTTTGTGATCTCAAGTGTAAAGCTCTGTGAGTACCTAACAGAGGCCAAATCAATATTGAGTGCAGTGCATTATCCCAAAACAAGAACTTAAAATTTGTAAAGTGCCATGCCGTAAAACTGTCTGAGGAGCTGGAGTACTGAGCTTTTGTTTTTGCTTTTGTGTAACTTTACTTATATAGCTCACCACTAATTCAGTGTCCAAATCAAGAATCATGATGACATTGTACATGTATGGCATTTCATGTGGCAAAAGCAGTCAAAAATTATATTTCAATATTGTATAATAATCCTCAGACTTGAAAAGAAATATTATTATACCTCATTCTAATTTAATGAATGATAATGAACATAAAAAAAGATATTCAAATTAAATTTTTGATAACTGTGAGTTTCAATAGCTAAGATATCAAATCAAAACACTCCAGTCTTACTTTTGATAGTCATAGCACTGAGGAAAACTGTGACTTAAGTGACTTGTTTCCCTGAGACTGCACGTACATAATGAATAACTGAGTTCACTTCTAAAATTATCCACTTAAATGAGTCAGCGACTCTCAATAGCAACCCCCACTGCTTACAATAAAGTCACAGAGAGAGTAAAAACAAGATATAAACGAAGCTGATATCAAAAAAATCAAAAACAATTTATTTCAAATCACAAAATGTTAGAAAATGGACAGATAACTGAAGCAGTGTACCAATGGAATCCCAAAAAGAAAACAAGAAAATAACAGGCCATCTGATAAATCAAAAGTACAATTGAACACACTATTAAATACAAATAAGTGAGTTACGTCATTTAAAAGGAACATTAAAATATTCAACTGCATTACCTCTGATAAATATAGATTTTACTTTCAATTGTCAAAAGCAGGATATTCTTACTGTTCAACTTCACTTTTCTTGATTTTCTCAGTCCCAACACATTTTACACATTTTCTGTTTCACCCGCTGAAATCTTCCATTTTCCTTGTTGGAGACACTACTCTCCGGGTTTTGTTTCTATTCTTATTCTCTTTGAACAAGAAAAAGCTGTCTCACTGGTTTCTGATCTGTTGATCTTTACTCTTCTTTCTTTTCCTAATTTCATCCTGATTTGAACCAACTTGTATCAAGCAAACTTGCATACATGACCAAACTTGTTACTTAATTTTACACTTTCTGCAGCTACTCCACAGTAAATGTATTCCTTGCCTCAACTTACTCGCATCTTCAGTTTGATTTGTGAAATTTCAAGTGGTTTTATGCAGTAAGCTGGAAGGCTTTTACTGTGAAGCAGCTGCAGGAAGTTGCTCGACTCACCACCAATGGCCAACTATTACTTCAATAAAGACTCAATAAATGGACTTTATGCAGCATTGGTAAAGTGCAGTTAAGATGAGCAAATCAGAAAAACAGTATGAGTCCTATTTGTCAGATGAGCAGTAACAACAGGAAAGATGAGTAAGACAAAACTAGCATCTTCTACATTACACAGGAGCTCACACAGCCCACAGCCCAATAACTCCTATATAAAAGCAGGGAAATGAAAAGAATTGCCTCTCAGGAGTGAGAAAATGAAAACAGAAATCAAATGTTTTTTTTTCAGATTTATAATATTCACTAACTTCAGGCTCAGTAAATAATTGAAACCTTTTTCCTTCCTTGTTTTTCAAACCATTTAAACAATTTAACTCACCCATTTGTCTTTGTATTTAACTATACTTTTGAAATATAGGAATCCTATTAGTGATATTTGTCGTCTTCGGGGATCGTTGTTGTACAGCCATGAAAATGCTTTACAAAAAAAGCGAACTCTAAAACAGTATTTACACTTTCCCAAATCTTTCAGCGCGCTTCATTTTTTTTGCCTGTGGAAAAACAAAAAGAAACCATTTACATTATTAGGCTCCCTCTCTTTTTTCATTTCCACCATTCATTCCCTCTGGTCTTTTTATAACATTCTACATTGTGATAAAATATAACTGACCACTAATGACTGAAGTCAAACAATAAAAACAAAAGTAAGGAATGGGAAAAAGTTACCTCAGCATCATCTCCACCACCTGAGCCTGCACTTGTTAAGATCCCAAACCTCTCCTTCCTTTTTTTCAGCTTTTCATCCTCTTCCATCTGGAAAAATGAAATGGTATCATTCAAATGACAAATTTAGACTCCAAAAGGCAGAAAAACGTTATTTTCCAGCCAGGAAACTGGGAACTGTCCACGTATTTCCCAAAAATGATCTGATATTCAGCTGTAAATTACTGTTAATATTTATTAACAGTAATGTAGTTGCACCATGAATCAAGCAACCATACAAGCTCATAGTCACCTTTTGTGAGATGGATGAAACGTTCATGCCAAATCTTTCCGCTCTCTTCTTCAGCTGATCAACGTTCACCTTTGTAAGACACAAGAACAATCTACTTAAAACTGTCTCATTACGGGATAAAAAAAAAAAATGTTTGAACTATATTTTTTGCAAAACTTACAGCAGCTTTACTGTTCGCAACCAGACCTGTTTAAGAGACGGATGAATGAAAGTGTGGGGTGAAAAACAGCAGGCAGAAGACATTGTGAAGAACATGTTAAATGTTACATGCTCCCAAAGCACTATGATGTATAATGTTATTTTACATTATAGCAGTCAGTTCAGTAAAGCAAAGGGGGACTACAGACCTGGAGATGGACTGGAAGCATCAGCGGGTAAACCAAACCTGGAGAAAAGGAACATAATGAATTGAACATGACTAAGTGCACTGATATTTACTTCAAGTATAAATCCAGCTTATACCAACTTGGGTTTTGGCCATCATTTTGATCAGTTATGATGACACTGGTCACAAGAAACTAAGCACAGAAAGGACAGAATGTTTGAGAAATAATTTTAGTATTCACTTTTGTTTTCTGTTCTAAATAAATTTGGCCATGGTCTGATCATCTGCCTGTTTGTGTTTCTTGTCTCATTGTGTTTTTAATGGTATATGTTACCTTTACTGTTAGAAATGATGGTCAAAACTGTGAAAATAAGATCCAAACTAAAAGACACTCATAGAAGGATGGTGTTGAAGCCTCACCTTGCTGCACGTATGGCTTTCTTGCTCTCAGATGACGCAGGCATGTTGAAACGTTCAGCTCTCTTCTGTAGTCTCTGCTCAACAAAAGGTAAAATTTTCAAAGAAATTGAACAGTTGAGACTGACACTGCACATAGAGGTGTTGGGTCTGCTGATGAATATTTCGAAACATTGAAATTAATCTATCATGTACTATTATGAGTTCTTGGGTTTCACAGTCACACACACTTTTGAAGACCACTCAAAGTTACCATGTTACAGAAGTTCCTGCTGGACGTTTGTGTTACATGCTATATAAGTGTGATATCACTTTCACATGTGACAAACTTTGTATTAAAATATACAGACTGAGGCTTACAATCAAATTATTAGTGCTTGCAAACATGTCATACGTACTTCACTGGAGGATGACGGAGGAGTTATTTTCACCACCTTCTTTTCAGTAGGTCTGAAAGAAAAACATGTAAAGACATCGAATAAGCAACGATTGATTTTGCTTTAGTGGTGAAAACTATTGACACATCATAAAACTGGGGGTGACATTTCTACACCAAACCTGATGACTCCCACATGTGAAGCCATTTAGACAAAATGTACACATGAATTTCAGCCACATAATCTAGGATCAAGACTAATGCTTATAGCACAGAAATAACAAATGTTACTAATTAAAACGTGATATTTTGCTTGTTTGTCAAAAATTGTGTAGATTAAATGAAAATGAACTTACGTCTCGCACTCAGCTGACTCGTCATCCTTGTCGGCTTTTACATTGTTGGCACTCTCAACTTTAGCAAAGTCCTAAAAGTAAAACATAAACTTTAATACTTAAATCACTACTTCACAAATGGTCTGATGAAGTCTGAGACGGG